TTTTTTTTTTTTTTTTTTTTTTTTTTTTTCAGAAATACGCATTCGCGAACGTTAAAATGAATCCTTTACAATCCGAATGTATTTTTATTTGTTTATAGAAATTACATGAAGCACATTTCTATGCCTTTTTTGATTCAAAATTCTGAATTGGAAGCATAAAAATTTTTCAAATCGATTTAATCCAGCTGGATTGAAAAAATTTGCATTGCTTATAGAATTTTTAATTCAGTTAAATCCAATTGAATCCATTTTGATTCATTCTGGATTGATCCGTTTACTGGATTGAACAGAACGCGATATATTCTTCTACGGTTATCACACTCCTTTGAAAGAAGTGTAACGACAATTCTTATATAGAAATATTAAAAATGATTAGGATTATCTCTTTCGTTTGACGCGATAATTTATCAACTGTCGATAATGGAAGTGTTTTAGTAGAAAACATCGATATACAAGTTATTCTGTTTTCATTCGTTTTCAGTGAAAGAGAGTTAAGAATAACTTTTGTATCGATATATGTTTTTGCCGTAAAGCTCCTTATGCAAGGTCAAATCTATTCTAGAAATTTCGAATTTTCGTCATGCTTCATAAATCGAAGCCGTAGAGTTCCTCAAGATAAGAGTTTGAATACGATTAAACCCCCCACCCCCCCCATAGTTGCTTCATATGTTTCAAATAATCTACAAAGAAATTTTATTATATTTTTCATCGGTTTATTTATTTCCGGTAAAAAATTTTTCATGCATGAATATGTATAAACATAAATATTCATAAATTTTTATGAATATCTATGTTTATACATATTTATACATATTCATGCATAAAAAAAATTGCTTATATATGCATAATTTTATATATAATTATACATAAATAATTGTTTTTACATTTCTCCAAACTTGATTTTTTTCTAAAACAAACAATACGAAAATCATCCCTTTAATTATTTTTTATGTTCTCACATTATTGTTATTATTTCTATTACACTAAAAAGTAATTGTATAAAAAAAGAAAAGGATGAATGAACATGTATGGTCACATTTCATTTATAATTGTACATGTTTATGAATATTTATGCATGTTTATGTATGTTTATACATATTTATACATATATATGCACGAACAATTTTTTACCGGGAATTTTCAAATTTAGGAAAAAATCTCCAAGCTGACGATAGTGGACTCGAACGTTTTTGAAAAGCGCACCATAATTAAGTTGAAAATGGCGGACGGTGGTGTTCAAACTATCGAAGGACTCTACGAGGCCGACGGATGAAAACGGCAGGGGATCGTGCACGTCACGTTTCGCGTCGGGGACGTCGGGGTTAACCAATGAGAATAATGAGACATGCACAGTGCTTTCCGACTTGTTCGATATTGCGACACTTGCCACTCTGTCCGGCACTACTCCGGCAGTCGATGAACGGCCTTTGGCTGGAGTGAGTGTTATTTTATTTCGGGTTTGTTTGTCGTCGTTATCGAATCGTCACGCGTGCTTAACGGACCGGAATACGTTATGGGATCCTGATAGTACATGTGAATACTCTCGTCCGAAGACAGCAAGTGGTTCTTAACCGCAAGGTAAATTCTCTTGCGAATACGAGAAATTAGGTCTACTGATCGTATCCACCGCGCGGCTCGGATTCCGGATTATGTAAAGGCGGGCGCGTGCACATCTTTCGATGTCTCTTCGTTCGTAAGAGGAGAGACCAGAATGCGGAAAAAGTCGCGTGAACGACGTATCGAACGATCCTTTGACCTTTTCGCGAGATGCAATACGTTAACTGATAATATTATCTTTCTACTTTCTTAGTTTTAAACTTAGAGATAGACTCTTTCGATTTTTTCATTTCGCATACATGTAATATTTTATTTGTGTAAATGTGTATATCCAATATACGTATACTATATATGATAGTCTGATTTAATATATTGCAAATATATCGATATTATTCTTATGTATATTTGTATATACAAGATGTCCAGTAAGTTTTGACAAAGCGCTCATGTGTAGATAGAACGGACTAAATTGAGTCGAAAAGTTCTCTATCACACATTTTGCAATTTTCGCAACAGTTAACAATTACGATATTAATTTATTAATTACTAAAAATTGCTGAATATTGGTTTTCAATAATTTTTCACTCAAATTCTATCAACTTTACCGAAAAAACAGCGAGAGACAAAAATTGTTTATTTTTTTCTCATAAAATTCTGGGAATTTTTTCAGAATTTTTCAGAATTTTTCAATACCATATTTTCTCATGTTGGTAAAAATAGTTGTCAAAATAAGAAAATTCAGTACTAAACAGTTGATAAAAAAATTCTGAAAAAAACTTAAGAGTTTTTCGGTAAAGTTGATAGAATTTGAGTGAAAAATTATTGAAAACCAATATTTAATAATTTTTAATAATTAATATCTTGTTAACTATCGCGAAAATTGTAAAATGGTAAAGGACTTTTCGATTCAGTTTAATCCGCTCTATTTACATAAGAATGCTTGGCAAAAAATTTCGGGACCTTGTATATGCGTATATACATATATGAATAATACGAGTATGAATAATATTATGTATAAATATTATACATATAAATATGTAAACAATATATAATATATTGATATATTGTCAATATATTCATATATTGTGTTCTATTATATAACCCAGATAACACACAAACAGAATTAAAAAAAAATTTAAATAACATTCAGTCGTATCCTCGTTCGGCCTTGGTCGGCCTCTGGTCTAATGGTTTAAAACGCTCTTACGAAACACAAAAGATTCAAGTCTCGGTCGAGGTATTTAATATTTTTCATAATAAATTTATTTAAAGTTTTTCAGCACATTAACATCCTTCTAATATGATACCGGATTGAACATCAAAATTTGCTTGTCAATTTAATTTAATTTGTGATATTATTCCAGTAATTTAATTGCGTTTGTAAGTCCGGAAAAAATTCGGCGCACAGTTTGAATAGCTAAAAAATATGATATATATGCATATATATAGTACATATATAGTATATGTATAATTCCACTTTGAATTGTACATATACTATATATTATTTAAAAGAAATCTAACTTCGACCGTTAATAGACTTGAATATGCTTACTTAGCTTACATTATTCAGTCGTATGTCATTATTTCTGAATTCACATTTTCAGATAAAAAAGAATTTTTCTGTAAAGTTCTAAAAACAATTCATTTTGCAGCTAAAAATAAATCTAAAATTGATGACATACGACTGAATTAATTTTTTTTAATTCTCTTTTAACTATGTTTAAGCACGGTTTAAATTTGCAAGACGACAGATATTAATTGTTCGGATTTCTATATAGTGACCTTTTACAAAGTCTTGATGCTTCCATGTTGTATTTATTAATTTAATATCTACAAATATTATATTTATCTATTCGACGATCTCTCAACACCTTACTTTTTATTCTATTCTGCGCTCTACTTTGTCATTTCATTGTTATTTTATTATGTAAATTTTTTTAAATGTAAGTTTTTAATTAATTTTATATTTGACTATGATAGTTTTATAGCGAAATTCATATATCAGTTTAATATTCGATTCATGATTATGCATTTTTCCGAAACGTTAAAAACTTTTGATAACGTTGTCTCTGGACATTAGACTTACAATGTTTTCCGTGTTACACAACGTCCGTATATATTTAGTTTAACAATTCTACTATTATACAATTCTAGCCTTATTATAAGTTTAAGTAAGCGGAGTAGTTGTTTTGTTAATTTATCAGTGAAAAGTTAACTGAAAAGGACCTAAATTAAAGGTCCAAGCGCCTGTATCTTTATTTTATTAATATATTTTATTTTATTTTATTAATAATTTTATACACAATTATTGTCGGCTTGCATAGGCTTTTTAAATTTATGATTTATTTATTTGGAATCTTATTTTTCATATATTGTTTAACACGTTATATTAATATATTATAATATATCAGCTAGAAATGATTAGTTGAATCGATAAATGATCAACGTTGAATACTGGTTGATGTCTTTGACATCATTCTTCATAATTGTTTCTATGTTAATTCAGCAATTGTGAATATTTCTATAAATTTTCTATTATGTTTTAGCCAAGTTGACATATAATTAATGCAAATTCCGAATCACAATATACAGGGTTCAAAATTTGCATTCGCGAATATACTGTGTATTTAATGTAGAATTGATCGAAAGACAATAGAAATCTCATATAAATATTCGCATTTAATTAATATAAAAACAATTATATAAAAAAATATGCAGTATGCGACTATTCATCAATATATCGTCGATTCGATCAATAGAGAATATATATGTTAATTTTTTTTAATTATAATATATTTTTTAATATTATATTTTTTAATTATTATATTAATATGTATGTGTTAGAATTATCAATGTATATTCATTAATTTTCAATATCGATAATTATTTATCGTAAAAATTTTACGAATGCAAGAGTGAAAAAATAACGGAGAGAATATTTCCGTTGAAAGTTCACAAAGTGGAAACTATCAATAAATGATTCAATATTTTTGTTTATGATTCAATTTTTTCTTCGACTTGATTTGCGTAAGAATATTTATCCGGTTTAAGAAGCTACGCAATTTGCAAAACATGTTTACTTGCTTCCAGGATTTTTAACTGCTATGGAGCTCACTTTTGCCGAATGTCGCAAAATTAAATCGAATTTTTAAGACTGCACAATTTGGCACGTGTCCTAAAACGAGTTCGAGGAATTCTCGAAGATGTTGCTCGGAAAAGATATATCTTTGAAGATAAAGGTCGTCCTAAACAGTCTTGATGCTTTTTCATTGTGTTCTTCCATAACGACAGATTGTGCTCTTATTACAGATGATAGTCTGTTCTACAATAGGATCGCAAACTGTAAGCCGTAAGAAATTAATCAATGGCTGTGTTCAACAGAGAAAGCAGCTTTGCCACTGTTGTCAAATTTTTCAATTGGTCCTTGCTTTTAATTCCTTATGGATCTAAATGTATAAACCAATTATATTGAAGAATTTTATAAGAATTTTATAGTTGCATATTTGCTGAACGCAGTCAATCATAGTCAATTATTTTTTCCATATTCAACTGTGATTGGCCAATTTTTTACGGTTTACGACTTCCGATTCTAAAACAGGAAATAGGGCAGACAAAATTTGCCGTAAACAAAATTTCTGTAACAGTAATCGTAAGATGTATCATAAGAATCACACAACCAATCAGAGCAGAT